TTTGCATCATATGTGGATTTGTTGGATGTGGAAGGTAACATTATTTCTTCTATCTGCTCTGACCTGTCTATAAAGGTCCCTATTTTTTATGACAGAAAAGTGCAATCTATTTCCTTTTGCTAAGCAATTTGCTTTTTTTTTTTTTTCGCCACCTCTTTGTGGGAGGACTTTACTGCCTTCATTCTTTTTTCTTTTTTAGATATAAAGAAAGACATGCTATACGTCATTGGGAAGATACACAGCATTGCTATTCTCTTGATTTAAGAACACAACAAATTTGGGATTACGTAGGTGATAGTTATGTTCATCGATTGAACCAGAACCAGTCTAAATTTGATGGCAAGTTGGGGGAGATGAATTCTCATTGTAGTTCACAGGAAGGAGATTGTGGTGTGTGTGAATACAATGAAGATTTAGGAATTGATGGAGCCCTCTTTAACAGCAAAGTTGAAGCAGTATGTTTCTCCTCTGTTTCTTGTTATCTTATTCTGTGTATTGAAGTTACGTTCAACATCATTTCCTGTGGCCAACTCATTTGCTTGTTGATTATTCAATATTTTGTGTATCTTGCTTTACCATTGCAGTTAGCATCTCACTCTAAACTTATCATTTTATTTCCACCTTTCTCATTTATGGTCACTGATTAGCTGAAAAACTTGGGAGCAGATTGTTGATGAATATAACCTTCTTCTAGCAACTCAGTTGAAAGCACAAAGACAAGTGAGTTAACTCTCTGTTCCTGACATTCTGTGGTTGTGAGAATGGAATAATTCTGTGAATGGGAATGCTTGCTTCTGAGGTTTAAATTTCAGACTATTTGGATGTTCAACTTCAGCATACATTAGAAAGGGTTGCTTTTAGGTGGCCCCAAAAAAAAAAAAAATGGAAGGTTGCTTTTACGCATGAAGATTTGCAGGACCTTTTCATTTGTGAAATCTTATTTTCTTGATTCTTCTTTTGTTTCTAGCATTATGAATCCTTGCTAGTTGAGGCTAAAAGTAAAGTGGAAAGTTCAATATCTGAAGCTGTGGAGAAAGCTGTGGCTTCCAGCATGCAGGACATGCAAAATGACCTGGAAAAGTGTACAGCGGAAAAAAATGCGGTTGCTGATGTAAATATGTCCTTTTTCTCTTGCGCTTGGTACACTTTTTTCTATAGTGCTGGAATTGTGTCTCCATAACAGAGACATTCCGTTGTCTTTCAGGTCAATAGGAATCTCATTAAAAGCCAAGAAATGTGGCGCAATAAGGTTAAAGAAGTTGCTGAGAGGTATATATATTCTTGTTTCGCTTCTTGAAATTTTTGGAAGAGGATTAGGTGCTTAATATGAGTTTGCAAAAGAAGTGACATGGCTTATCTGAACTTCATTTCTCAACCCTTCTCAAGTTTTTGGGACAGGGCTGACGGGAGAATGTAGTCTTTTTATCTATGTTGGGTTAAGTTCTATAAAAATATAATATGGTTGCGGTAGTTTTTCTTCTTGATCCTGTGTACAGCAGCTGCAATATTTTTAGTGAATTTAAATATCTGAATGTGCTCTCTTTAGGGAAGCCATGGCAATGAAGTTGAGGGATGAGAAAATCCGTGATCTGGAGGAACAGGTAATGCCATCAACGACCTTTAATCTCTGTCTCTAGAGAAGCTTTCAAACTTATTCGATGATGGTCTAGAAATGATACAAAACAGATTAGGGATCTCAACATCTACATAGAAGCTCAAAAAGCAGTTGATAAGATGGAGGATTCAAATGGGATTAAGGAGGGAACACTCTTACCAGTGGCATATCAGCAGTCTTCTTCAGGCAAGACTAGAAAGAACAGAAAGTCTGGTCGAAGACGGAATTAGTTGGTAATCAACTAGGTCCAGGAGGTCAGTCCTGCTAATGGTACTGGAATTGCCTCACCTTTTGTCTCTCTATCACAGCATTGTATATATAATATGTATTGACGAATATTGCTTTTGTGCTTAGCTTAGATAGTAATTAGGTATAACTTGTAATACCATTGTGCTGTCGATGATATGATAAAGGGCATGTTTGGTTCAGATTGAAAATCACTAAAACTTGTTTTGGCGAAAGCAGGTAATGGTTTTGGTGGAAGCCTGTTGTTACAGCTTCCACATAAACCATAGTTGGTTTCACATTGTAATTAAGTATAACTTGTTGTAAGACCATTTTGTTGTTTATAATGCCACTCTAATGGAACTGATAAAGAGTATGTTTGGTTTCATGTTGAAAATAACTAAAATTATGATTTTGGTGAAAGCAGGTAATGGTTTTGGTGGAACATGTAGTTACCGCTTCTACATAAACCATACACGTTGTAATTAGGTATAACTTGTTGTAATACCATTGTGTTGCTAATAACACCACTATAATGAAACTGATAAAGAGCATGTTTAGTTTCACGTTAAAAATAACTAAAACTATGCTCTGGGTGAAAGCATGTAATACTTTTGGTGGAAGCAAGTAGTTGTTGCTTCCACATGAACCATAGTTGGTGACGGTGGTCTTTAACATAAAACCAAACACGTACAAAATTAAGCCATTCAAATCAATTGAGAGAGAGAAATACCATTAAAGATAAACTATCACAAAGGTAAAGGATGAAGACAGGAACTCAAGTTGATGTTATTTTCTTAGGTTTTATAAGTCAATTGATTTAGTTAAATCAGGCTTTAAGACTTTAGGCATTGGTCAACGCAATCAATAGATTTAAGGTAAATAAGCAAATTACTTTTTAAATTTTAAATCTAGTAACATCATATATTTTAAACTCATTTATTATGTAAATAATTTTTTTAAATTTTAAAATGACACTTGTTATTAATAGAAGTTAACTTCAATCGATAGATGACCAAGAAATGATAGAAAAGGAATTAAAAAATAAAACAAAGAAACTATTTTTTTTGTCTTTTTCTATAATTTTTGAATTTTTTTATTTTAATTTTTTTGGTCCTTTTCAATAACTTTAGAGGTCCTTTTATGTCATTTTTCGAGCAATTAATGGTAGTTTTTATTGACAGCAGGAATCAAATTGCACATTTTTTAAAAGCTTGGGAAATAATTTACATTTACATAATAAATGAGTTTAGGGTCTATAGTACTACTGGACTTAAAGTTTATAAAATAATTTGCTTATTTACTCATATATTTAATATATTAATTAAAGCCACTAAAGTCGCATTATTCATGCATCGTGATTGGTACAACTTATTTGGCCCCCTTCGAAGTTGCTAAGTTCAACGTATGAGAGGGACTTCGATGAATGCAAACTTTAGTGAAAGTATTTTATAATAACTTTTATAATGGACAAAAAATCAGTAAAGGTTTGTGCTCTTTGAGTTATCTTTTAGATTAACAGTTGTTGAATAGAGATTTGTAAAGTCAAGCAAAACAGCAATATCAATACTTGGTTTCTAAGGGTCAAATAATATGCTTAGTTTCTCTTTATTTCAATGTATTTCTATTCAAAATATTTTTGTCAATTGTCATACCAAACCAACTCAAGTTGGCATAAGTGATGATAACTCTCATTGTTTAACTTAAAGCAAATATTTAAAGGTTGGATTCTTAATTTTTACAAATAGAGTAAATATAAATTAATTGGAAGGAATCAATCATTGGCCCTTCAAACTTCAAAAAGTAAATATAATTTAAGAGAAATAAACCCTTAACATTCTATACCTGTAAAAGAAATTGGCCCTTTTTCTTGTTAGAGATACTCCTTACCTCATCCAAAAGACATGTTTTGTCTTCTACAAAAACAAAATAGGTCCCATCAACTATTAACAATAAGAAGTCATGAAGGAAAACTATGTTGAAATCAGAAAGTATAATTAATAATAAGTCAAGAAGGAAAATTATTTTGAAATCAGAAAGTTTAATATTTCTTAGAATAAAGTTTGGCCAAATTTTTTTTAAAATATAATTAATAAAAATTTTGAAATATTTTCTAAAAAAATCATATTTATTTATTTATTAATTATTTTTATAGAGTTAAGAATATCGGCCTATTTGATGCTAATAGGCTTAAGAGTCTCGTTCACCTTATTTTAACCATTTCAGAAAGCCCCTAGTGTCAGTTGATACCCTGGCTCAAGCCTGAAAATTCATGTAATATATTCTCTCCCGTCTTTATTATAAAATATTTTTAATTATTTCATATATTTTAAAAAAATTAATTTTTTTCTTGATATCATAAAAAATTGAAATATGCTTTTATTTTTATCCTTAGTTTTAAATAATAAACAACTACATTAAATACATTCACACTAATCAAGAAGAGGTAAAATTAAAAAAAATAATTTAATTATTATAAAATGTTCTATATTTTAGATTAAAAATTACTTTTAAAAAATGCCTTGTAAATTGAATTTGAGAGAGTATTAAGTTTAACAAGTTTTTTTTTTTATTTCACTACCTAGTAACATGAAAATTTGAGAGTATTATCACTTTTTACCCACGCTGGTCCAAATCCCATTGTGAAAAATGAAAAAAGTTACCAAGCGGACTTCATGGTTAAATTTTCAATTTTTTTATAACTTACATATTATTTTTTATTAGAATCAATTTTATTTGTACATTCAACACAGTGTAAAAACTAGTGCTTTTGCTAAATCAAATCCCAAATTCAATTTAAAGTGCAAAAATGTGAAGAAGGGTTTGTAATTTTCGACCGGCCGATCATTAAAAATATATTTACAATAGAAAGAGATCCAAAACGCGTTAAGACTTATCTTGCAATTAGCAGAGACTTGTGGGACTACTCATTCTATTTCAGTATTTCCATGATAAATAAATAAAATATAGAACCTCACGCACTCACGCTTCTCACTTCTTCTCGCAGGCTGCGTGTCTTGTGCGAGAATCTGACTGTTCGTTGCTAAGTCATCACCAATCCTTCGTCATCCATCTTCGTCTTCTTCCCCACTCATTCATTCCAAGTGTGAATCTACTCTGCTTACGCACTACATAGTCCGTACTACTTTCCTTATAAATTTCGAGTGTATTCTACGACGGAAGAAATTCGTTTCTTTCTTACTCTGGGACCCACCAGGCATTACTGGCGCGGGTGCCACCACTTGCTTGTGCTTTTCATCAATTTGTTCCCATTGCTCCATTATTATTCCCCAAACAGTGTAAAGTTACTTGCTTTTTTTTTTTCCTGGCTCTGTGTGACGTGACTTTCTTTCAATTCTGTTTCTGGGTGTATTAATTAAGCTAAACACGAGTCCTGGAATAATAGTGTCGTTGAAGGATATTGAAGGAGGAAGCCGAGGAGCGACCAAGTAATGGCCCCGAGGAAGAGGTTACCGGGAGTAGACGATGAATTGCAGAAGATTCTGGATGCTAAAATGGATCAAGTTCCCGCTAGAAGAAGGGCTCGTGAGGCCTTCAAGGATATTCAGCTTGGGATTGATCATATATTGTTTAAGGCAAGGTTTATGCCTTATGTATTTTTCCCTTTTTCCCAAATATTTTGGAAGTGATAAATCAACTGTTTCTTATTTTGAATCTGTATGTTTCAGCTTTCTTCCTGGGGCATGAATACTGATATCTCTTTTAATTTGGTGATCTGTATTGATTCTATTTGTTTGTTAATCGGTCATAGTACCCATTGGTTCAGCGGTGATTGGTTAGACACTTGACATTGACATTGCAACTGTGAAAAGACTATTTGTGGACCTCAATATTGATATTTAATGTAGATATGAAGGGCGAGTCAGAGCAGTCCGTTCATGAATAAATGCCATACAACTGCCGAATAGTTCATGGAAGATTTCATTGTGTGGTGACAAAATCGTAACACTGCATAAAAAGAAGAAAAATGCTTAGGTTGAACCTTGTGGAAGATAGGTAGGTCAAGTCCTACTATTCTTTTTGTAGGATCCACATCTTGAGTACTTGTATATTTATGTATGTATCTGTAAGGTAGAGAATCGAAATAAAGGAAAAAAAGGGGAAAATAATAATGGTCATGCAGGCATTGATCTATAGGTAATAGACCATTCAATGACCTGCAAAGTGAGTTGTACCTGTATTACCCTTCGTGGGACCTGATTTGTGGTACTATCAACATTCAAAACAATTTAGGAAATTACTGAGAGAGTTAATATTTCTTGAAATGATTGGTTCTTGTTTTGTCTTTTCCTCTTGACTTTTGTTTCTCTTCTGCTCTTTGCATGATCACATGCAGAATCATGTGCAATGAAGTTTGTACGTTTTCTTCCCCTCTTGGCCATGCACTTTAAAACCTATCAGTTTCTTGACATTTTCAAAAGGATTAGACTTAAAGTAAAGTTTCTTGGTTGTTTATTATCAAGTTTTCCAATGAAAATACAAGGGTGAAATTTATTAAAGTATCCAGTTATCATGTATTTATTGGAGAACCTAATAGCAAATACCTAAAGTCTATAAAGATGTTTTTTCCTATCCAAAATCACACGGTCCTGAGATTTTTCAGCAACTGTCATTGTGTCTAATGCTGTCACTTTGTTAATATTGATTTCATTATGATTGACTGTTGCAGGCTCCATGTGATCAAGTAAAAGTGAAGGAGGTAAGGCCTCTGCATTAACGCAGTTCCGTGAAAATTTGGTTATGTTTCTACAGTTCTCCTAAAGGGTGGGCTTGGTTTTTATGTAATCTTAATGAGTATAACCCTAGCATTGTCCTTTTTGGCTAGGCTAATTTTTTTCTCCTCTTGATGCATGTGATGATCACCTGATGTGTTTGGCAATAGTCATATGAGGTGAACTCAAGGGGTATAGAAATCTTTACTAAAAGTTGGCTTCCTAAGTTGTCTAAGCCCAAAGCAACAGTGTTCTACTGTCATGGATATGGAGACACTTGCACTTTTTTCTTTGAAGGCATGTAGCTGGTGTTAAAAACTTGTAGATACAGGCATCTTTTTTCATTTACATTATAAATTACCAACTTGTGTTTTTCATGAAATATTTACAGGAATAGCTAGGAAGCTAGTGTTGGCTGGTTTTGGAGTTTTTGCTATGGATTATCCAGGATTTGGTCTTTCAGAAGGTCTTCATTGCTATATCCCCAGTTTCAACAGGCTTGTTGATGATGTTATTGAGCATTACTCAAAAGTCAAAGGTAATCAAACTCAACATGAATACCTCTAGCTCAATACCATGAATTAGCTTTGTCTGTAAATTCGAGTACTTTTGCCTGTCTAGTTTAGCATCATGTTTCTTCATATGAGGGGTGCAACTTGGCGTGCTGTTGTACAATAGACGGAAAGTTTGGGGGTCGTGCTTTCAAGTACCTTTTGTATAACTCATGTTTTCATTCTAATAATAGTTAATATGATTTGACTCACCTTAAATTAGAATCATAACATTAAAGGGAATGGCCAAGACACATTTTTGGAGCGCTTTCATTGAGAAAAGTAAATGTTTGACATTGAAAGTTTTGGTACATGAGGGGAAGTTTCTTTTCTCTTTTGTTTTGTTTTTGGGGTGGGTGTCTAGGGAGATGAGGGGAATTGTAATTCAGCAATTGTATGGCAGCTAAAGGGTTTGTTGTATAATATCTGGAAACTTCACCTGAAACTTTTTCAGGTTAAATTCACGGTGATCTTAGTCACATTTTGTGATAATTTCTGACAATGAATGAATGACGTTATTACTGTAATTGCAAGCACGTAAAACAGCTAGCAAGGAAATATTTTGATGACCCATTTAGAATCTTCTAGTTGTTTCTGATAAATTAATTATTTGAGCTTTCTTCTTAGAACTGTCATTATCTGTAAACGGGAACCGTGGATTTAACATGGAAGTTGTATGCTAAGACCTGGAATCATTATCTTTATGCATAAACAGTTATACTTCATTCTTCACTGATGTTAAGCAAATGATCTGTTTATGTTTTCATGTTACACTGTAAGCAACTTACAATGAATGGAGTGTGAATATTTTTACTTTTGGAAAACTGTTGGCTTGCTTGATGGCAGAAAATCCAGAGTTGCGTTCTCTTCGTAGCTTCCTTTTTGGACAGTCTTTGGGTGGAGCTGTTGCTTTAAAGATACACCTGAAACAGCCTAAGGCGTGGGATGGTGCTGTTCTTGTTGCGCCTATGTGCAAGGTAAATTTTCCAAGAAACTCAATCAGCTTATGAGTTCTGTTTGGATTTTTGGTTTGGGGGAACTATGTTTGTCCTTTTGAACTAAGGTGAAATAGGATAATTTGTACATAAACTTAATGTAGCAGCGCATCTCCATGAACTTTAAACTAAAATGGAAACATTGTTAAGGTTAACTGCAAGAGGCTGCTTCCTCAGTTAAATTATTCAAGGACCAGCATTGGATTGGGAAAAGCATGCAGATATTGAAGGCTACGTGGCCTCTTGCAGTTAATTGTAGCTGAAGTTTTAACGTTTTTATTGTAGTCTAATTTTAGGCAGTTGTTTTGTTCATTTGTTGAAGCTTGAAGTTCATGTACCCATTTTTCTCTTTTGGCTTTAGTTCAAGGGGATAAAATGGAATTCCCCCTTTTGCTTTAATATCTTTTTGACAAGAAGCTCTGTAGATTGCAGATGACATGGTTCCACCATGGTTGCTCACTCAGATTTTGATTGGCATGTCTCATGTCCTTCCAAAGAGTAAGTTAGTTCCACAAAAGGATCTGGCTGAGGCAGCATTTAGAGATGTGAAGAAGAGAGAACAGGTTTGTACTTTGAACTTGAACAATCTCTTAAATTAACTATATCTTAAGACAGTAATTAATCTTATGAACTCATCTTTTAATGCCCTAATTTGAAGGTGCCTGAGCTTTGTTGTATCGATTCTTCTTTTGTTGGTTAATTTGTCTTCAACTTGTATCTAAATTTCGATCCTTGATGCTTGGAGGCAACTCCAATACCACTGAGCCAAAGCTCATCGGGTTTCTATCCTCCTGCCGCGGCTCTCAACTGCATTTCCATCCTTAAATTTTATCTATACAATTATATATATATATATATATATATATTTATATATAGCTTATCCTTCTGACAATTTCCTAATATCTTTCTACAGACAGCCTATAATGTTGTTGCTTACAAAGATAAACCACGCTTGCGGACTGCAGTAGAGATGCTTAAAACTACTCAAGAAATAGAACAGAGATTGGAAGAAGTATGTTTGCTGAACACCCAACTTGTCTTCTCTAGCTATTTAATATTCTGATAAACTGCCACTATGTGCACAAACTGCTCTTGACTGTGAAACCATCTTGGGAGGCATTGCATGCTTGCCTGGCCTCGAAAACGAGAGACCAATAGTCTGCTTCTTTCTTGGGCAAGAAGCAGCTGCAGTGTCTGATCTAAGGAGAGTTTTTACTTGTAGAAAAGTAAGCGTGATTTTACAATTCGATTGTCCTTGAAAAACTTTCAAACTTTGGCTTTTGTGGTTGGATTTGTATTCCTCTACATAAATTAGTCCCTCAAACTTCCTAAAACAATACTAAGGATATAGTTGCATGCTTCTTAGAATGCTGCAATCTAGCTGAACCCTTCATCACACCAAATTTCTTAAGTGATGTATGAATATGATATTTGCAGGTTTCTCTGCCATTGTTAATTCTTCATGGGGAGGCTGATAGTGTGACAGATCTATCTGTGAGCAAAGCCTTGTATGAGAAAGCAAGCAGTTCAGACAAGACACTCAAGCTTTACAAGGATGCTTACCATTCTCTTCTTGAGGGTGAGCCTGATGATATAATCATTCAAGTTTTCAGTGACATCGTTTCTTGGCTTGACCAGCACAGCTCATAATTTTTCTTTATCTCTTGTTGGAATGGTAAATAATTATCATTTGAAACGTGAGCATCATAATTTCTCAGCTACCTGGAAATCTGTATATATAAAAAACCTGTGTGTGATTAAAAAGACAGATTGAGTATGGTATAAATTATTCCTTACAGCTTATTTGTGGCAATTATTGTCATATCCATATTTCATGAGATAGTGAGACCATGACTGTATCCTTACATTGAAAAAAAAAAAAAAAACTGGACTATGGTTGTGCTTTTCATGGAATTTGAAGTGAGTCGCATTGTTCATTACTTATGAATAATGTGTTTTTTTGGTAGATTTTCTATTATGTATAGACAATGAAGGCTTATCTGACAGTTCTTACAAAAATTTCATTAAGCCTTGACCTTGGGATGTACTTAGTTTAATTTGATATATTTGTGAATCTTATTTTCATTTTTCGTTAGTCAAATATTCTTTGATTGACATGGATGATGAAATTTTTGTATATGGAGATCCCTAATAGTTCTCTTTTGGTTGGTTCAATGTGATGTGAGCAATGTTTTTAAGATCAGATTACTCATTGAATTTGTAAAGATATTTAGTTCACATTTTATTGGTTTGACTCTAGTTAAATTTGTAGTCATCTCTAATCTTCATGGATAAGAATTTGGTTCAAGTCATACTTTTGTGCGTTACAGCTGAAAGGAGATGAAAATATGGTTTTAATTCAACATCTTGTAATATCAATTGATTGATATTACTATTAATTATGTAATGATTCAATATTTTGGTACTATTATTAATTGTTATAAGTCTCTTAAATATCAATCTAACGTGCAAAAAATGTAGTCTTATGATACTAATTCTTCTTTCCTTCCATCAGACAGCCTGTTCCGTTTGTCAAATAAAATAAGAGAGAAAACAATTAAACTTCTTGTGTCATATAAAAAATGGATATTGTATTTTATTTTTGTGTTTTCTTGGATGAATGCATTATAAAAATGAAGAGGAAAGATGATCAAATTTTATATTACTCACTCTATAGAAATTATATTAAAATGTTCATTACTTGTTTTTATTTATTTTTAACAAAATGTTATACATCTATTATAGTTCATTTGTGAAAAAATAAAGTCTGTAAAGTAAACTATAAATAACGAATAAAATGTTTTTAAATATTTTAGCGTCTAAAAATATTACTTTTTAACTGTAATTTTAAGAACAAAAAGTTAAATAATATAATGAGGTGAAAAGAGATATGAACGTAATGTAAATTTCCGTTCCACCGAAAGTTTGATGGAATCCACATTCTTAAACTTTTGGGAATATTTTAATGTATAAAATCAAAACAAAAATAGATTTTTGCAAACTATACATACTAATAAGTAATAAGTGGAATCCTCACTTCTATTCTATCACGTCCCTTCCATTATCATGAACCAAAAAAGGGGCTAAACAACATGACTGAATAAATTATCAAAGATATTTACTTATTTCAATTGAATCAGGTATAAAAATGTAAAAATTTGGTTGGGATAAAAAAAAATTAACCCTTTTCTTGCTAAAAAAAAAAGAACAACCACAACTAAAAATAATTATTTCATTTTTTTTATGATTATATTTCTTGCATTTTTAACATTCACTCGAATCAAATAAGAGTGAAAATCAAAACACAAAAAGAGAGTGGGCGTGCAAGTGGGATATGAAGCTGAAGGTTGCTTTGCTAATTGGTTAACTTTGCTTTCGGTGCTTGGTTTCTCTTCCATCCACGCAACTCCCACTATTTACGTAAGTGCCTATGCGCGACAAAATATTTGAATTTTTAAATTTAAATTATAACAAAAACTTTTTTGCTTTTGGACTATAAAATTGTCAATTTGTGCTCAATTCTGTTATTCATTTTTGCCCTCAATTATGGCCTCCTCCTCTTCTTCGTTGTGCTATTCTCCATTAGCATTAAAGGTAAAGTTTCCCTAATACCAAGACTATGACTTGCACTTTCTGATTCCATTTCTGTTTCTGCAGCCTCTTTGAATTCCTTGAGTGTTTTTGGATTTGAGTTCTTTCTTTCTTTTCTTGGTTCTGGATTCAATTCTTGTTTATGTGAATCAGCAAAAACATGATAAATGAAACAGCCATGTTTGCATTTTCTGCTTTTAAAATTTCATTCATGAAATAGGAGTGTTCTTTTTCAGTATGTCATAGAGTGGTTTCAGAAGGACTTTATGATCTAACCAGAGTTAAAAAAAAAAAAAAAAACTGTCAACAAGTATAGTTTTGCACAATTTTGCATAAAAAAAAATTGCCTATATTTATAATTGGTTCTAAGCCCGAATAAAAGAGAATTGTGTTAAACCCTCCGTTAACGTAAAACTTGGTTAAATCTCATATGAATATTACTGTATGATATGCACTTTATCTGTTTTTGTGTTTATATAACCATTTAATTATTTGCAGACTCAAGACTTTTGCTTACAAGTTAGGCTCTGTTTGTTATAGATTGATCACTCTGAGCCTGTAAGAAGTGGTTCTGAGTCATGTAGAAGAGTCAAGTTGAGAGGAGATTGGAGTTTCTTAGGAGGATCCAAAATCATTTTGAAGCCACAAGCTGTGAAATCTCTACTTCGTCAAAAACACAATGGAATTTCTGCTTCATGTATTCTCTTTTCATAACCATCATCCACATCTGTGATGTGTGTGTGATTGTGTGCAAGTTCTATGACTATATATCTGTTGCAGGGTTGCCAAGCTCTGAACTTGCTAGCAGTGTGTTTTCGTTGGGAACTGCAGCAGTTCTCCCATTTTACACACTCATGATCGCAGCTCCCGAATCAGAGATAGTATGTTTCTTATTGCGTTTGGAATTAATTTATAAGATGCTGACGTCAACTAACGAACTAATAGACTACATGTATGTTTATATTTAGGGTAAAATTGAGTAAAATTGCCTTCTGAATTTTAGGGCAAGTAGTACTATAGATTTTGTGTATTGTATAAATTATTTCTTCAATTTTTAAAAACAATGTAATTTGATCCCTGTCGTTAATAAAAGTTAACTTTGATACTTAATTGATTAGAAAATAACTTCAAAAAATTATAAAAAATGACAAACAAATTACAATAAAGGACCAAATTTTTTTTGAAAAGAGCCAAAAAAATTTTTAGTTTCTATAATTTTTGAAATTATTTTTTAGTTAATTAATAGTCAAATTTAATTTTTATTAATGGTAAAGGCTAGATTGAATCATTTCTAAAAATTGAGGGGATAATTCGTACAATAAATGTGTTGTGGGTTTATGATGTTATTGTAACTAAAATTCAAGAGATAATTTACTTATTTAGCCTTACATTTATTGGTAATATATCAAAATATGGGATCTGCATGGAGGCTTTATTCACATAACCAATATGGATCACTGTGTAATGAACTATATATACTGTTTATGATTTATGAAAATTGTGACTTGTTAGATTTGGATCTCGTGTGTTGCATAGAAGCTGTATATACACAGATATAGATTTAGATTGGGCTTTGAATCGTTAGGTGCTGAATCTGATTCATCGTATAAAATGGGAAAGTGCAGACTAAAAGGTCAATGAAAAGTGGAATACCATATGTGTTGCTTGGCCTTCTGTATACATATCTACTGTGCCTTTCTTGGACCCCTGAGACCATTCAACTCCTTTTTGCAAGCAAATACTACTTACCAGAGGTTAGATCAAATTCAATTTTTCTTTTTAAGTAGTTGTTGGCATTCTTCCTGGATCAAATTGGCATGTTTGACTATCGGTGCCGTAGTAATTAAACTAATCAAATGTTAATATTTCTAATTTGTTAAAGTTGAAATGATTTATTAGTTTCTACAGAAATGATAACTTTTTCTCTATAAATTACACATTAAGATACAAATTTATCAAAATAAGTCAATATAAATAACAATATTTTTCCAAATATTTCATAAAATTTTCTTGGGTGATATCAACCGATTTCCGAAAACCACATTGGACTCCAACTAATTTGAAGAAAATCAATTCAAAGAAAAATTATGTAAACCTCTCCTAACAGTAATTTTCTCCAGTACTAAAAATAATTTTAAGTAGTTCTATCAGGGATTTTGGAGGCCTTAGCTTCTGCGGTTGTTTCTTTCATGCCTTGAAAAGTGTTTTGGGCTGGGTAACACCACCCCAAAAACAGAATGATCCAAAGACAAGGCATCTACTACAGTGCAATAATAATAATAGATCTCACAAATTTAAGATATGTTTGATTTCTATTTTTAAAAAAGTGTTTTGTTTTTAAAAATAAAAAAATTGTTTAAATAAGTGTTTTAGATTTAAATACTTTTAAAAATTGTTTTCATTTTTTGTTTTTAAAAATTCATTTTTTTTTAAAGTACATCACATTTAACTATTGTAAAATACTTTTAATTATAGCCAACCACTTTATAGGTGGCTACTATTAACTACAACTGACCACTACAATTAGCCAATTTTTTTAACTCTAAAATTGTTTTCTGATTAACATAATTAAACATATTTTCTTTTGTTTTGTTTTAGTAAATATTTTTTTTTAAAAAAAGGGAATAAAACCAAATAACAAGCCCTTAACATTCTACTCATTCAGTAATATCAGGTAAGGTTATATTAAACTTACGGCAATAGTTTTATCATTGACGGGGTCGGATGCTTTGGTGCAGCTAAGCAGTATAACAAAAATGTTCTCCAGTGAGATGACTTTAGCCTCTGCTTGGATTCACTTACTGGCCATAGATCTCTTTGCTGCCAGGTCCTTTTCTTCTCACTATTTCCATTTTATTTCTCTTCCTTTCTTTGGTCATTCTATATATATATATATATATATATATATCATGTTGATGCAGGCAGGTTTTTCACGATGGACTTCAGAATCAAATTGAGACTCGCCATTCAGTTTCTCTTTGCCTCTTCTCCTGCCCCATTGGTGTTCTGTCTCATTTTATCACTAAACAGATCACCAAAAATGCTGTGAAAGAAACACACACAGAATCATAGTGGTATATCTATTCATAGTGTACAAACACTACAGTATCAAATGTATTATGCATTTTTCCATCTATTTTTCCCTTTTATACGTCACTCCAGTCTTGGCAATGTCTTCCATAGCCAAAAGCTTTTTCAAAACCTCATGCTTTAAGTACCATTGCAAGAGCAAAAGTGCTCATATCTCAGTGCAGGCATTCATTAATAATCAGTCATTTAGAACGGATTTTTCATTCATTTGATAGAGTTTGTCCTCATTCATCAAACTTTGTGCAAACCATGAATAAAACATTGCAAGGGTCAAAATAAGAAAAGAAACATTCTAAAGCTAGATTGTTAGTATCGATCCTTGGAATGTTCCTGTCTAGACACATCACACATGCAGCAACACAATCTACGGATTTAAATCTTCAGGACCCGAGATAAAGCCCATAGGTAAAAAGTCAAGCTCCATTAATTTTCCTACTTGAAGAACCTACGCAAACACCAAGCTGCACTGATGTAACATGAATCATGTGGTGATCAAGAAGAAAAATTAAAATGATCAAAGATTTATGATGTTTAGAAACAGCATAACTGCTCAAGCCAGTATTTTCTTGCTCAAGTATAACAAGAAAATATTGCTGCAGAAGACGACAATACCTCAACTTAATGAATCATATCTTGGATGAAAGATAGATGCCTGATATCATGGTTACACCAGCCACCACAAGAGAAGTCAGACTAAGTGACGTTTTAGCTGGAATTTTCATGAGATCCTTCAACTGAGAAACAGCAATTGAGACATGATGAAAGTCTTCATAATGAATAATAGAAAAAAGGGGTATATAAATTTTTGGTCCCTTGATTACATCGTAAGTTTCAATTTTGTCTGTTAACTTAGATTCAGCACAGTAATTCATAATTGAAAAAAGTCTCACATTGAATGTTAGACATAAAGCCAAAATAGGACCCTTGTACTTCATCTTGAAATTTATTTTCGCCCTTTAACTTAATTTTAGCTTGTTCCCTTAACATTTTCTTAGATTCCATTCCCCACCTCCCCCCCCCCACCTCGATTCATCTGGTTTCATTTTAATCCATGAATAACTCTATATTTCATTTTTCTGTCATAATTTCATTTGGTTCCTTAAGTTTCAATTTTGGCCCTTAATTTTATTTTCAAAAATTTCTTTAATTAGGAATAACGATTTTATTTATTTTTATCGATAAGATAACTTTTCTCTTAAGTATTTTAATTTATTAGTGTTAGAGAAAAAAATCGAGTCAACTTTGAAAGAAAAAAAATCGTCAAATTATAAGAAAAGGAAACCAAGGGTACAAAATAATCGACTCAATCAAAATCAAATGATATTATGTGACAAAAGTGAAATTTAAAGTGAAGATAACGAAAGAAATTAAAATATATTAAAGTTAGAGAGCAAAGTAAAACTTTTAAAGGACTACGCACAGAGACAATGTGGGAGAGAAAAAAAAGGGTAAATTTTATAGTTAAAGAACGACACATGCGTGCGCATTCACACACTATAATTTTGGCAATGGAAAACAAAGCATAAATATTGGAGCTCTTTCAAGCATTTGTTAAAAGGATTTGTTGGAGAGAATAAAACATTTATTTATTTGTTTATGTTTATTAACCCTTTACCTACTGTTAATTACTCTCTCTGTTTCAAATTATAAAATACATTTAGACAAAATCTTACATACCAATAAACCTCATTAAATACACCTAATAATTTTATCTTTCCAAAACAAAAATATAAACTTTTAAAAATATCAATCATTTAATATATTGAAATTATAGAAAGAGAAAGGATAAAAATAAAATTTGCGCATTTAATGAAGCCTTAATTTACCCAAAGTGTTTTATATTTTGAGACGAAAAAACTTCTTTAAAAATACTCTATAATTTGAAATGGAGAGAGTATTATTTATTGCTGTCACTGGATAGGGTTATTCTAGTTATTAGGTTTATTTTATTTATTTAGAATAATGTCCCTAATTAAGAGTTAACGCTACTGTTCATGCTGCTCTTAATCGAATAGATTAAATATAAACTAATTTTTTTTTGCGCTGGTTTCAAAGTTATAGATGATTTATGACACTTTGAGATTCCAAACATCTAGCTATAAGTGCACATAACATATTTGGAGAATGATAGTCAGGTCTCTGATAATTTTTTTAAAAAATGGATTGCAAATATAGATTCAAGCAACTATAAGTTTAGACATTTCAACTGTAAATAAGTCATTTAAATTTCAAATCAAACTCGCACTTTTAAATTGATATTTGCAATCAATTTTCTCAGCCAAAAAATATATATATAAAAAAAACTTAACTGTTAATAATTCACTGTTTTGGGAATCAATCATCAGCCTCCCAAGCATCATTTGCTATAATGCATGAATAGAAACTACAAAATGTAAACTTACCACTACGGGTTGCCTCCAATGCTTCTTTATTCCTTGTAGATGCCCTTTTCCAACAACAGCAACAACTGAGCCACTCTTGCTTGCTACGTTTAACAAAGTACAAGACATGTATCTGAATTTTCAAAGGTGTAAGAAAGAACTAAAATGAGAAGATCTATAAGTAAGCGATAACTAAATTCTTGACGAAAATAATAGCTGAAAAAACTGGTGCTTTAACTTTAGGTGCGAGCAGATCATTTATGAATTATGATGAAAACGATGATCTTCAACAAAATTATTCACAATTCTTATGACGTAAGACTAGCAAAACCAAATGATAATCGGACATGGAATAGGAAACCTTTCTTCCCAAAAAGAATTTATCCTTTTTCTTAACTAGAAAATGCAAATAATAACAAATTCAATCTCGATGGTGAGATATGTTGTATGTATAAATCCTAGATGTGAAATTCACAGAAAACCATTCACAAACTTAAGAGTAAATGATATTGAGAATAATAATAATTGCTCCATAATAATTACTTGAGTCATATTTGAAACATCTCTTATTTCACAAATAACACTCAGCTCCCTTGACATTTGATATATATTGCAAAAGCTTCCATTACTTTTACTTTATTTATGTAAATGAAGTTGATGGGGCTAGTGGGCCCATTCAGCATGTTCATAGCAGGACTCAATCTGCTGCACCTGCTACTAAGAGGAGACAAGAGTGTCATGGGCTGCAAGGCCCAAAGCTGAGTGATTGTGATACTATAACCACAACATCCCAATGAGGTCATCATAGAGCAACTAGTTTGTCATAATTGACCATGTATTCAAAGAAGCAAACACTCGTGCCAATTGGTTAGCTCACCAAGCAAATCAAGACAAGTTTGATGCTACTACTATCTATGATGATCCACCCTCAGGGTGCAAAAACTTGTTATTAGCTGATTTAACCAAGTTTTGTTTTATTCTTGCACAATTTCATCGTGGCTTTTGTATTAAAAAAAAAAAATTCCCAATAAGGTTGACATTCATGATGCTAAGACTACAATATAGAGAATTAGAGATTATTGGCCAAGGTCGTCAAGGTCAGCATCAAATACAGGATTGACTGGCAGGCGACCAAATAACATCCTACTACTGCTGACAAAATATTTGTGTCTACATATCCTAAAGACAAGAGGTAAACTCTGGTACGTCTCTGGTATTTATATTCAGATCCTGAGGGTGGCTTCCATATCCAAGATGATTCCCTGGAACACCACATCCCCATAATAAAAACAAACAATGCTAACCAAAGTGACATTTTACAAATTTTGATGAAAGCAAACAACCATATTCTTCAAATTGTCAGAGAAGCATAAGACAACAGACAAGTAACAAAAACAATTCGGAGCTGTGTAGCTTTCTTTTGAAATGAAACTGTAAAATAAAATTTCACAAAAAGAAGTTGCAAGAGAACTTACTGATCTCGTTCATGCACAAGGGTCTCCGTTAAAGATGGAAACTCCTTACTGAATACTTGAAACATGAGTGCTTGCATGTCAATTACATATTTCATTTTCTTTAGCTGAAGCGTGAAAAAAGAGAACCCAATTTAGGAAATAGACAACATTTTAGCACATACATATAATAATCACTGGCCATTCATCACAATGTTTGGGTATTGTGAAGCTTACCAGTTTTTCTTGAACCTCAGGGCTGGAGATAAAAACTGCTATATAAAGGAAACTAGCCAATAATTTTATCTTCTCCCTAAGTGGCATTAATCTCCATGTTCTAAGCGCTGTAATCTGCCTTGAGACCAGTATCAAAATACATTAATAAATTCCTAACAAGAACATAATGAAGCATAGCCACGATGCTGGACAATGCACCACTACTTGGAATTCCAAGTAATATAATGCTGGAAACTGAAAAACCACAACAAAGGAAGTAAATCATAGGGCAAAATTAAAGAGATGGGTTTTCACCCCGTTTGTAGAAACTTTTAATGAACTTGTGCTTTGCACATGACCTTCTAATGTTCTGAAAGCTAATCTGAATTCAATTGAGATTGTCATGCAAGTTTTCAAGGATTTTCCGGAGTAATATATGTTGGGTGGGGGTATCCATGGTAGCCTCCAGAACCAGTTGAAGGAAGCAACATGTATCACTTTTGGGGATTTCCTACTAAAATATCTTGGAATTCCCGTCTCTCATGCAAAGTGGTCAAAGGGAGATTATCGTAGCCTAATTGACAAGATAACTACTAGAATCAGAAGATAGTCAACTAGGGACTTGTCTTATGCTGGTAGAAAGAGTTTGTAAGAACTTCTGTGGAGTAAAAGGATAATGCACCAAATGCGGCTCTAGTCAGTTGGGAAGAAATTTGCTGCAAGAAAAGCCAAGGCGGGCTTGGTTTTATTAGAAATTATACAATCTGGAACCAATATGGAATCAAGTTGCAGGAATATAGCTTGGCAATGGCCAATGCACATTGTGGGTGAAGTGGATAAATGAAGTTTATTTGGAAAATGTTAATTTCTGGGAATATCAATGAAGCAAGGCACAAGTTGGCATTGGAAAAAGCTTTTGAAGCTCATAGACAAAATGGCAGCAAGCTTCCATTAAGGCAAATTGATCCAGGAGAGCAATTTTTACAATAAATTACGGATACAAATGGCTGTTTATAGGGTTAAACATACTGTACAGCGGGCAACAATTGCTTGTGGGAAATTTAATATACCTAAGCACTCATTTGTCAAATGGCTTGCATTGAGGAAAAGGTTGCTTACAAAAAGTAGAAAGCCAAAACTTCATGTGTATTTTGCAGGCGGCTGACAGTAAATGCACCTTCTACAAGATGGAAGAAGAAGCCGGGGAATATTTGTTCTTCCATTGTAGCTGGTCAAAACAACTTCTTGAACTGGTTGCAGGATGAATTAATTGCTTTGACTTACAAACTAAATTTAACAGATGGATCATATTTTTTGTTTTTGCATACAAGTAAAGTATTGTAAATTCAAAAGAAACATTCTCTAATCTATAATTGCTTGCTGCAACTATTTATCATGTTTGGATTGAAAGAAACCACAAGATATTCAGAGGTGAAAAGAATAAGATTAGAATGATACTTGGTAGGATTAAAGAGAAAATATCAACGAGAACTACTTTTTACTTACCTGAAAAGCTATCAACATAGAGGTGAATTATTTGAGAAAAATGAATATGTTGGAATGATTTGACTAGGTAGTTTTCCTTTTGATACACAAGTCTTTTGATTTGTTTTATAGATCCATCTCTTCCTCATCCAAATGTTTTGATACAACAGGAATAGAACTCTTCCTAGAAGATGGTTATTCCTTAAGCATCTCTTTAAATGATGTATGAATTTTGTTCTTGATAAATGGAATTTACGTTTTACAAAAGGAAAAAAGGATATGAACACTTTAGTGACAAACGAATATATTTATTCAACTGACATTCTTCCTGAATTTGAAGAACAATTGGTTGCAAAGTACAGTCAACTAGTATTTCTAATTATTCAAATATTGCAGATATTGTATTCATTTAATTGAAGGTATTTTAGTCACATCATTAATTTCGGCTCATACTGGGATCTTTCACTAGGATTTCAATAATTAATTTTCTTAATTATAATTAAGAAAATAATATATCTTACAGGTTCGTCAAATATCAGCTTCCCTTCTAAGTATATAGAATATAATACATTTAACCAATGAGACAAGAATTCTTCCGTGTATTTAACAAACTTTAAATTAAAATAAGAAATGGTACAACCTTTGCAGGGCGATCGCCAAGTATCATCCTGCCGCCATACTTGATTGCTTCTTCATATGCCACACGAAACTCAGAACCTGGAATGACCTTAAGCTCACAAGCGACCTGTCAAAAAATTCATGACAAGCGAGTATATACCCAGAACAAGAATGGATCAAAGGTAACTGATTAAAAATCTCATAGTAAGCTAGTAACATTAAATATGATGTGGAAGATAAAAGCATGCCTTGGCATAAAACCAGCCCACAAGTACCGCAAGAATACCGTGTTTCCTTGCACCTGCGGTCATTTCTCCTACAGTGGGTACCTTGAACTTGAAGAAGGAAAAAATAATTAATAATTAATAAATAGGCATATAAATGAAATGAACCAAGTAAGTATTACTTTGTTGGCTAACTTTGCATTCTATAAGGCAGAAAAATATATTTTAAGCTTGGAAACCCTTTAATCATATTGGTCACTAGCAATCTAACATTCATAATTAGCCCCCTCCGATTATGGAACTTAAGTATAAAGATATTAATAATTAAGTATCCTCGCCCCACTTTAGCAAGCTTATCTTAAACACAAATGAGAAGAAAACGAACAAACTAAGTTAAAGAATGGAGACCTTCAGATGTCTAGAAAGAACAGCTTTGCGGCTTCCGCACAATTCTAAAAAGACAACCTGCAGCCAACAAAACAAAAAGAAAGGAAGGCATATGGTTTCATATTGCAACTTTAACATGCTGGAGAGGGGGCTGAACGGAAAAGCAAGTTCATCCTTGCTGATTGATGATGCTTCAATCAATCAAATATTAAAAAGTTAAAAAGTACATACAGTACCTCTGGTCTTAAAAATTTGATTATTTCCTGGACCTCCTCGCATGATTTCTGCAACAAAACAGTCACCGTTTCTTTCGTTTATACGGAAAAGAAATAGAACAATGAAAATAATTTCAGAGGAAAATGTGTTGCGAAAGAATTTACTCAGGTTAAGATATTTAATAAGACAGTTTCGATCATAAATTAATTTGCAGGTAGTAGAACATCTGATGAGTTTGGTTAACGGACACGTTTCTCCCTTTATCAAAAAGCTATGCCATATAGTAGATGAAGGACGAAAAACTTTTTCTTATAGTGCGGAAAGCATCCGGATACTACTTTTGGAATTATCTTATGAAGAAGGTGTTGTTTTGGAAACCTGCTATGGGAAGAATTTTTTGTTCTTCATAGGAGAACAAATTTATTTAATAATGTGCTTTCAAAAAATATTTTAAAAATAAAAAAATAAAATATTATTTTAAAAAATAAAAAACATAAAAATAATTTTTTAATATTTTGAGATTATTATTTTGAAAAATAAGAAAAAGTGAAAAAAATACATGTTTTTATTATTTTTCATTTTTAAAATCTATTTTATAAAATATTAATTTTTATAATAATAAAATAAAAACAATTTCCAACGGTCCCAAAATCTAGTAACAAGGTCTGAAGATAAAGTGAAATGAGGAAATATATGGAACACACTAATCCGAATTCGTACCATTAAACACCGATCTCTTCTTAAAAGCCACACGCACATGTATATATTTCTTTTCCAAAGTGGGCCATAAAACCGTCTTTTTCAACTTTAATTTAATTAGTTTTAAATACCTCTTAGCGGAATAATGACATAGATAAGACTAATGACACAGAAGCCCTTATAAGTTAATCAAACACATGGAATTTTAAAGCAGTGAAACGAAACAGTGACCTGAGAAATATCAGTCGAGAAAAAAATGACCTGAGAAATATGAACTGTGCCAACCACATAGACATCGCAAAAGCCAGCCTGAGCAGAAGAAGGACAAGTAAGAATCTCGACGTTTCTCGCGAGCTTCCTTGCCATTTCGTGCTTCTCACTCCTTTCCTTCTGCGATCCTACTCCGCGGCAGTAATTTCTAAGATTCGGCGATAATGGGGTGAATAATGGGATTCTGGATGATTCTGGACTTGTTGATGAGCATTGCCTGAATCGCATAAGAGAGAGGATACTATTAGTGGTTGGCGAAGAAATGGAACGGTGATGATTTTGAATCCACCATGTTATTCCGCAAAGTTGAGCAGTATTGAATATGATGAAGCGACCCATTACGAAAATTTGACAGTGCAGAGATTTTTTTCTTGAGAGGTGTTATAGACTCATAGTGTTCCAAAGGAGGCTCCGCGCTGCTTTGCTTTCATGGATGCAGTACGAAGTAATCCTTTTTCTTGCAAGCAGAACTTCACACGTTTCGCCCAGCCAGAGGCAGAGCCCCAGCAATTAATGAGTTTTTTCTTTTTCTTTTTACTTTTTATATTAATTAATAATTAATAATGATGATGATTTTTAGATATTATTTTTTATTTTTGTATTAAAACTTATTTGCTTTCATACAAAACTTGCAATTTAATTATTACTGAGATAAATGCAAATATGCTAAAGAAATGAATGCAGGCCAACGAGCTATAGTTCAAATGGCATGATCTCTCTTTTGATGCAAAGGATTTTGATATCAATCCCCAACCCAAGTGATTAAGAAGAGAATTAAAAATTTGTGGACGGTAGGTAAGTGATGCGTATATGCATTGTGTGTGTAAAATGCATGTATGCGAGATTTGGGAAGAAAAATTTGATAGGATAGGAAAGAAAAATAAAAAAAAAATGAATGAATGCAGCACTATTTTATTTAATTTAGTATTAATAATTTCTAATTCGTGTGATTTTTTTTTCCACGTTTATAAGTTATGATTTGTGAAGAAAAATAAAAATTAGATAGGATAGAAAATAAAAATAACAAAATAAATGAATGCAGCACCATTTAATTTAATATTAATAATTTGTAAATGGTTTGATTTTTTACCAATTTTATAATTTATAATAATTATTAAAATAGTATTAATAATAGGGATGGTGGTGATAATAGTGGTAGATGTAGTCATAATATATTAGAGAATGATAATTATTAATTAGCTAAAAACGAATGGGTTCCATAAACAATCATGTGCCTGTTTGGATATCCTTTTAGAATCAATTTTAAATTCAAAACCATAATTTTGAAAAATTTTATCAAAACATTCTAATTTTTTCAAACTCTATTTGATTTTCAAAACTCCATTTGAAATAAGTTAAAATTTGTTTCATTTTGAAAAATCAATATCATAATCAATTTTTAAAAATTTATCCAAACACCATCACATTTTAATAATTAATTTTTTTTAATTAATTTTTTTCAATTAAAATCCAAACACACCCCATAGCTTAAGGCCAAGCATGTGGGCCCTATGCAATCTGCTTGACCAGTGAAGAGTAAACTTTGGAACAAAACAAATGCTAAGGGCCAAAATATTCAAATCCTGATAAGGTAGATGTATTTTTCAATATCTTAAGTTAATTTTTAAAAACTCGATTGCAATATTTTTTATTTATTAAAAGTATTTTAATCTTTTCATATTATAAATGCATATACAAAATTACAAATTATACAAGGTCAATGTCATATAAAATATATTTTTAAATTTTAATTTATTCCAATTCTATTAAAAAGAAAGAGCAATTCTACTAATCCATAGCCCTCTTCAGGTTGAAATGAGAAGGTAGATGAGAAGATCTCTAAACTATTAATTCCACCATCTCATGAGACCATCATCTATGTCCATTGTGCACAAAATCTATCAAATTATATAGATGAATGCTGAATATAAAACATGAAATGGACATAAGAATAATGATTGTGCAAAATAATTCCACATAATACATAATGATGAATTGTTCATAAAAAACATGAAGTTGATACTTTGATAGTTGATAGTTTGCCACTTTGCCTACTATATCCGAAAAGGTAAATCACCATCAAACAAAAAAAAACAAGAGGTAAATCAAAGCCCAACAATCCCCCAACAAAAATATTACCACTCTAACTCCAGTGTGACACATATTACACTAATCCATCCAACAATGCCTTCTTCCTTTCCAAAGGAGTAGAGATAAATGTCTCTCTCCAAGTTGCATCCGTAAATTTGTTCATTGCCTTCATAAAGACATTATAAGAGACACCATCTATCCATTCAAGAGCAGACACACATTTGGAAATAGTTGATTTGCTTCCATTTTCTGCAACCAATCCATCCAACCATGCCTTCTTCCTTTTCAAAGGAATAAGCACAAACACTTCTCTCCAGTATGCATCAGTAAATTTGTTCATTATCTTTGCATACACTTTATCAGAGACACCATCAATCTGATCAAGAACAAACACACATTTGGAAATGGGATAATCAGATGATGTGCTGTTTCCAGTAGTACAACTGGCTTGAGTCATTCTCTTTGCCTTAGCAACTTGAAATTCTATCTTTGCCTTGGATGCCTCAGCTCATGCAAGAAGTGCATCTGCCATTGTGATTTGATGAGTCTTAGACTCTTTCTTTCCCTTTCGTTGAGGAAATCCAATTCTAAGTTTTCCATTGTGTAATAAGACAGGACCAAGTATTTGAGAGGCATCAGCATCATCCCCATCAAGAATAACCATGGTATCTGTATAAGATTTATCTATATTCTTAGGCCACAATGAATTCTCCTCTACTTCCTTTTTAAATTATGCAAGCAATAAAAAGTTCAAAATATGCTCATACTTAATCAGAGAAGAGATTTCATTATATGGTTAAACAGCATAGGTTACACATCTAATTAGTGTGGCAAAAAGAAAAGATTTCAACAAGACATTTTTAAGATCAGAAGACTCACTCAGGGAAAACAAGTTCAGATACCTATGACTTGCAGGGAATATAAATCGACGTAGCTAAGGATCATTGACAAACATCAAACAAGAAAGTATCCACATTAGTGAACTATTGTCCAATCAAGCAATCAGAACAAAGGAAAATGCGCAAACCAGAACAAATTAGGACAAATTGTTCACCACCACACTTAAATATTATTATCCTTGTATAAAAAATGATTATCCTTAGTCATTTCTTATCACCAATTCATTAGCAAAACTGGTAACCAATTCTGAGATGAAGACATGTTGTACTTACACATTCTGATTCCAAATTATCATTGATAATGTTTGCGTAGTTAAAGAGAATCAAATTGAGAGTCGACAAAATTGATAGTGTAGTTACCCTGAAGAAGTGACCACTGAGATTCACAAGTTTTTATGGTTTATCTGCCATCTAGTTATGGTGTCGACGTCGTCATAGGCACCAAAGATATGGGGTTCCCCTTCGGTTGTATCGCAACTGGTAACTACTAAGGTGAAACTGTGAAAGAGATATACGGTATTGCCATTTCTGAGACATTGTAACTTTATATAATTTTTTGATTTTATAAAATACCTTTTCAAATTCTAATCATAATATTATTAATTTCAAATAATTATTTTTAATCATTATTGTTTAAAAAAATTAAATTCAATATTTTAATATTTAAGAATATATTTTTAATATTTGAAAGTTAATTGTATAACAAAATCCACAAGTTTATATGCTTCAAGTAGAGAATATGATAGGGAATAAAAAATTCGAAATAAACAAATGTAGAAAAGGATTTGCAAATTGAGCTCATTATTTTGAAATTTCTATGTCTTTTTTTTACATTATTTTTTTCATGAAATGATCATATTACCCATCTAAAAAAAGCAAATCATAGTAAATATGGTCCATGACTAGTTAAATTAAAACAATAAATACTTCATTTCAGCAAATAATAAAAAAAATAAACTGCTTTAACCAGCTATGACCAATTTTCTTAAAATTATTTTATCACTCCAAGTTAACGGGTCTCTGAAGCAGAAAGCGAAGGTAAGTTAAAATAATGACCACTCTATTCTAGCAAATGGCAAAAGAAAAAAAAACAATAAACCAATGACAATTAGCTAATTTCCTATAATTTATTTTATCAGGGTTTAAGTTAATGAGTCCCTAGAGCTAAATGACTAGTTAAGTTAAAGCAATTTCTATTTAGTTTAAGTAAACGACCCAAAAAAAAGAGAGAGAGCTTAATTAGTGACAACTAATTTCTTTAAATGTATTGTATCAGTTCAAGTTAATGGGTTGTTAGAGCTAAATGACTAGTATAGTCAAATAACAAATATATCATTCCAAATGAAAATTAGCATATGAAAATAAATAAATAAAGAGAGAATGACATTCAAGGACTATTGTGGGAAGTTATTTTCCAATTAGACAATAAACTCTGATAATACTCTGCACGATATGAGCACTTAATTGAAATTATCTCTCTTTACAAAATGACCAAAAAGCCCAAATGTTTAAACAAAAAGAGTAAACTCTTGATAACTTCACACGACTTATACAAAGACATCATCAAAGGCGATTTGTGGAAGTGAAAGGCCATTGCTTAAGGAATCTGCTTGACGACCTTCCATCATTTGAGTCTTATTTAAGTTGCTCACTTTGTTGTTTTACATTCTGAATGCCTCTAAATTTTTCACTTCCAAATGGTATTGTATCTCTAAAATAGTTGTGCTTGCCATTTTGAGCAACAGTGAATTCTCAGGAAGATTGACCACTTGTGGCAGCAATTCTTCTTCCTCCTCTTCTTCTTTGTAACCAAAATGGGAGGTGATTTTGCATTCATCCCATCTTGCTATGTCAAATTAAGTTTTTTGTGATGTAAATTTTTTTTTGAAACATTCGATATTAAAATTGAAAAATAGATGGTTAGGTGAAGGTTCTAGACATTCATGGTATTGAGTTATGTTGTCCAAAATAATTGCATGTTATGTTGTAAAATCCTTGATGTTATATTATAAATATGGTAATTGCACTTGTAAATTTGTAATTTGGTTCAGTACTAATAAGGTAGTTGAATTTAAGATTGTCGTTAGATATTTTGATTGGTTGGGGAAGCAATTCTTATGTACATACATACAACCACATATATATATATATATATATATTTTTTTTTTTTATATTTCAATGAGTTGCTATCTTATGAATGTATCTAACATGTAAGTTTATGAAAGTACTTGATGGTGTAACATCCTGATTTTTATATAATAAAGAAATTGTAGAATTTAGGTTTTGAGGAAAAAATGATAATAATAGGAATTTATATTATTTGAGGTTATTTAGAAATGATATTATAGTTAGGTATGTAATTATAAATTTAAAAATTTAAATTTAAAATCACATAAGCAATATTTAGTTAAGATATAATACATAAATAATTTTTTTTATGTGTGTTAAAAAAAAAGAAGGTAGAAGGAACAAAAAAAAGAGGGTGGAAGGTTGTTGTTTCTAAGTCCCACATTGGTTAGATGAGGGAAGAGAAGAGGTGCCTTCATGTATAAAAAGGAGGGGGTGTGTGCATTAGGAAGCATGAGAGGCTAAGATGCAATTTAGAGGAAATTGCAACTTTTGGCCCAAATATTTGAATAATTAAATTCAAACCTATAGTTTTTTTTAAATATAATTTTGGGACTACAATCCCATTTTTATATTATTTTTCTCTCTTCCTCTCACGTTGCTCAGCGTTTTCTCGCAAGGGGGGATTATTTTCTTTGTCTTCAGGTATGTTCTAACTTTCCTGTTTAGATTAGCATTTAAAAATTTATTTAATTACAAAATTAATTTATATAGTTATTTTCTAAATAATATTAGCTTTCTAGTGGTATGATTATTTTGTAGGATAGAGTAAATATTTTGATTAGGATTTTTCTATAGGATAGTTAATCTGATGATATGATGGATTAAAAATATAGGTTAAAATTCTTAGGGATATAAAAAATATTATAGAATATTTTTTTAAGGTTGAAACTCATGTTTAAGAATTTTTGAGTTAAAATCTAGATCTATATGATTGAATTTATGTGGAATCTGAGACGTAGGGATAAACCTATGATTATTAAATATTTATTTAAGTATGAATAGGTATTTTTGAGGTTATAGAAAGGTGATTTGAGGCTTCAGAATAATTCTAAAATTTTTAATTTATTTTTGGATGAATTTTTAGAATATAGAAGGATGAAATTGTGATACTAGAAGTGAATTGAGGATAAAAAAAATAGTTCATTAGGGTACGAGAATTTTAAAAAAGAATTTGGGAAGTTAAATGAGGCATAAATCTTAAATTAGTGTTAATATGGACTATAGATCTAAGACTTTCTACCTCTTTAAATTAGAGTTATTTATTTTAATGTAAAATTAATATATAGTATTGTGAAATAATTATGTAGATTATATTGACAAAGATAGTGGTGAAAAAAGAGTTGTGAAGGGGAACTTGTTATTCAAGACACAAGGTAACCATTATTAATGTGTTGTGATGAGTGTGTTTGTGAATGGTTATGTGTTGTTTTGTTGTTTGGAAAAATTATGAATTATTGAAAATAAATACTGTTATATACTTGTTTGAAATTATTGCCAAGTGGGTTAAAAATTTATTTTTGTTTATCATGATGAGATATTATTGTTCGGATATATTTCTGTTTGGATATTTGAATGATGCATGACTTGTCAGGGTATTTTAATGTATGGTGTTAATGGGAATTTCTGTTCGGTTAATTATTACCACGTGGTAAGCCCTCATTGGACCCAATGAGTGGCGTGTCGCTTGGTCCAACTCACCTTTGGCCGGGTGATTTGGCGTCCGAGCATGGTGAAAGGAGGATATAAGGTGCAGTCATGCAATTAAATACTTGTTCGGTTTGTTTGAAAATATTGTTCGGTTAAATGTTTTGTGTGCCCACTTAGCAATCGCATGATTAGTTACATCCGCATGCATCATTACATATTAATTTTTGGTTACTGGGACTTTTAAGTCTCATTCCCCGTGGTTAATATTTTTACAGGAGCGAATCCGGCCGAGAAAGCACCAGAGGTGTAATTATGGTGTATGAGACACCATCTTTTACGTTGCCTCTTATTTTGGATTATACAATGTATCTTGTGCCAACTTAGGACATATCTTGTCTATGGAGCATGTAAACTCTAATCCTTTTTATTAAATGCATTTATATGTCCAAGAGGATTATGTCTGTCCCTTTTGATTCATGACCTAATTTGAATAACATGCTATGAGGATCATGTCTGTCCCTCATGGTTCTAATTGCTTTTTGAGATATTTTAAGACCTGTGGTATATTGTCTTGGATGTATCATGGTAGAAATTTTTCTACCATGATAAGGGTATGATAAGGGTTCAATGAAAAGAAAATGATTTGTTGAATTAATAATTTGTGAAAAATCGGTTTGTAAATTTGAGGGTGTTACATATTGGTATCAGAGCATTATGTTTCGAGCCTCTATTTTAGTAACACTTATTTAAATTTTTGTTTGAAACTATTATTTGTGTGAATTTAATATGTATTTATTATGTATGGTGCATTGTATATAGTCGGTTGGCAATATACATTGTTATGGTGCTTCTCATTGTATGGCCATTATATAGCTAGGCTAATTTTATTATTTATATCTTATATCCTTTAGAAGGGGAGAGAAAATGCCTGTTACTCGTGGTAACTCAAGATTCCAACATAAGCATCTGCCACCGCCACTGCCAAATGAGGAGCTTGACTTGGCGAAATTAAGAATGCTTGTAAAAACATTAACAGACAAGGTTCAAGGATACGAACAAGAGTTGGCGGAGCTAAAGAGGCAAAAGGTAACTGAAAATGGAGATAGGGCTCATGTTGAGAGTCATGTGGGGGAAGGCAGTTCCTCACATCCTGCCACTCCGAGAGATCATGAGTCTAGAAGGAAGGAAATTAGGCAGGAGGAACAGAGAGCCCCACCGACCATTACTGATGTGTGGGAAACTGTTAGGAAGTTTAACCCTTCTACATTTGATGGTAACCTTAAACCATCCGTGGTAGAGGAATGGGTGAAGAGACTCGAATCCATCTTTCGAGTAGTCACATGCACCAGCAATCAGAAAGTACAAGTAGCATTAGTGCTTCTAGTGAAAGGAGCAAGAGATTGGTGGGAGATAGCAGGGCCCAGGGATGATTCTACACTCACCTGGGAGGAATTCAAGGAAAAATTATTCAGGCATTACTTTCCATCAGAGTTAAGGTCTGAGAAGGAAGCGGAATTCCATGCCTTTAAGCAAGGGAACCTCGATGAGGACACATTCATTGCTAAGTTTCAGGAGTTATCTAGATACTTCACGTACCTACAGTATAGGGATGATTCCGAATGGAAGGCTAAGCGCTTATTGGAGAAGGCTAGACTAGAATTGAGGGAACAATTGGCTCATCTAGATATCCGAGATTATGATGAAATGTGCATAAAACTACAAGTAGTAGCTCGCAGTAAGAAGGAGGTTGAGAGAGAGAAGAGGGGTTATTCATATAGTAGACCCCCAACCTACCCTCGACCCACCGGAGGCATTATGAAGAAAAAACCATCAGGGTTCGAGTAGCTCATGGAACCAAGGAAGGCAGAAGGGTCCATTTCAAAGGGGCCAAGGACAGAGGAGTTATCATAGTAGTTATCACGGGTCACAGAGGAGCCCAACAGTATCTACCCCTGCTCCGAGTACAGTGAGCTCTCAGCAGTGCACTAAATGCGGGTGCCGTTATTTCAAACAATGCTGGGTTTGTTACATTTGTGGGAAACCCGGTCACATTGCAAAGTTTTGTGGGAACAATCAGGACTCAAATACGAAGAACCCTTCCCAACATCCTACTATATCTGGCCATGTGTTTTCCTTTACTCAGGACACGATAAATTCCCCAGATGCCATTAGAGGTAACATCAAAGTCCTTCATCATGATATTGTTGCACTGTTTGATTCAAGTGCTACACACTCTTTTATTTCTGAAACTTGTGTAAAGAACCTTGATTTTCCTGTGTGTATTTTACCTTTTGATATAAATGTGTCTACTCTTGCAGGAGAATCTGTGAGGACCGCTAAGGCATGCCTTAACCTAGTGGTCGAGTTTAAAAATAGGAAAACAACTATGGACTTAATTATCTTACCACTGAGAGGTATGGATGTAATTGTGGGAATGAATTGGATGGGTGTAAATGGTACTATCCTAGATTGTAGAGACAGGTGTGTGTCTTTATCTTTTTTGTCGGTGACTCCAGTCGAGACTCAAGATCATGTTTTCTTATCGGTGGCGCAAGTTGATAGATATATAAAGAAGGTTTGCCAAGCCTACATGGTTTTCTTCTCTATCTAAGCTGAGATTGATGAAGGCATGAAGAATATCCCTATTGTCAAAGAATTTGCAGATGTATTTCCAGATGAAGTCTCCGGTTGACCCCCAAAGCGCGAGGTAGAGTTCTTAATTGAATTGGTACCTGGTATAGGGCCAATTTCTAAGGCTCCTTATCGAATGTCCCCCTCAGAGTTAGCAGAATTGAAAAAGCAAATTGAAGAGCTACTTGAGAAGGGTTTCATCAGACTAAGTGTTTTACCTTGGGGATCTCCAGTTCTTTTTGTAAAGAAGAAGGATGGAAGCCTCCGATTGTGCATTGATTATAGACAATTGTACAAAGTAATCATCAAGAACAAATATCCATTTTCGAGAATCGATGATTTGCTAGATCAGCTTGTGGGATCTGCAGTTTTCTCAAAGATTGACTTAAGGTCAAGGTACCACCAATTGAGAGTAAGAGCGGAGGATATACTTAAGACAGCATTTCAGACGAGATATGGGCATTATGAATTCATGGTGATGCCGTTTGGACTTACAAATGCTCCTGCGGTATTCATAGATTACATGAATAGGATCTTTCGACCCTATTTAGATAAGTTTGTAGTAGTGTTTATTGATGACATTCTTATTTATTCAAAGGATGAGGAGGCTCATGGTGAGCATTTAAGAATCGTCTTGCAAGTTTTGAGGGAACATAAGCTTTATGCCAAATTAAACAAGTGTGAATTTTGGCTCCAAGAAGTAAAGTTTTTGGGCCATGTTGTGTCCAGAGATGGAGTTGCGGTGGATCCTAACAAGATTGATGCAGTGATGAAGTGGGAACAGCCAAAATCTGTTACGGAGATACGAAGCTTTCTAGGTTTAGCAGGTTATTATCGTCGCTTTATTAAGGGATTTTCGCAAATTGTGATGCCCTTAACTAAGCTGACTAAGAAGGATGCCCCATTTATTTGGACTGACAAATGTGAAGCTGCTTTCCAAGAATTGAAAAAGAGGTTAACCACTACTCCAGTGTTGACTATTCCTGACCCTGTGGTGCCGTATACTCTATACACTGATGCTTCTTTAAAGGGTTTAGGATGTGTTTTGATGCAAAATGACCGAGTGGTTGCCTATTCCTCCAGACAGTTGAGACCACATGAGGAAAATTATCCTACTCATGATTTGAAGTTAGCTGCAGTTGTGTTTGCTCTGAAGATATGGAGACACTACTTGTATGGATCTAAGTTTCAAATCTTCAGTGACCATAAGAGCCTGAAGTATTTATTTGATCAAAAAGAGCTTAATATGAGGCAACGACGATGGATGGAATTTTTGAAGGATTATGACTTTGAATTACATTACCATCCGGGTAAGGCTAACGTAGTAGCTGACGCCTTAAGTAGGAAGACTATTCATACTGCACATTTGATGGTTCATGAATATCATTTGTGGAACAGTTTTCATGATGTTCCAGTGGATGTGATTGAACATCAAATGGCCGCACTCCAGGTAGTAGACTTTGAGAGCAAATTTTGGGAAGATCTTAGAGTCTCACAGCAGAGTGATGACTACTTGAAGAATATAAGGAAGGAGATAGTGGTAGGTAAAGCCCTAAATTTTACCATCTCTGATGACACAGTGATGAAGTATAAAGGTAGAGTTTGTGTACCTAATGATCCAAGATTGAGGAATATCCTTTTAGAAGAAGCTCATAGGAGCAAATATACAATTCATCTCGATATAACTAAAATGTACCATGATTTGAAGCAAGGTTGGTGGTGGCCAGGAATGAAGAAAGATGTAACTGAATTTGTTTCTAGATGTTTAACGTGTCAGAAGATAAAGATAGAACATCAGAAGCCAGCTGGAACACTGCAATCGTTAGATATTCCAAAGTGGAAATGGGATGATATTTCCATGGATTTCATCACTGGACTGCCAAGAACACCCTCGAGTAAGGATGCTATTTGGGTGATAGTAGACCGACTCACCAAATCGGCTCACTTTTTGGCGATCAAGTTTACCTCTACATTAGAGAAATTTACTGAGATATACATTAAGGAGATAGTTAAACTTCATGATATACCCTCTAGAATTGTGTCAGATCGTGACCCAAGGTTCACTTCAAACTTTTGGGGTGCGCTACAGAAAGCTATGGGTACCAGACTGAGTTTTAGCACCGCATACCACCCCCAAACAGATGGACAAACAGAGAGGACGATCCAGAATTTGGAGGACATGTTGAGAGCTTGTGCCATTGAACTACCAGGTAGTTGGGATAATCATTTGCCATTAGCTGAATTTGCCTATAATAACAGCTATCATTCTAGTATTGGGATGGCGCCTTATGAGGCCTTGTATGGCAGGAAGTGTAGATCGCCTTTGTGTTGGACAGAATTAAGTGAGAGGAGTATCATTGGTCCAGAAATTGTAGAGCAGACCACCCAAAAGATTGCAATGATTAAGCAAAAATTGCTAACAGCTCAGAGTCGACAGAAGAGCTATGCTGATAAGAGAAGATGGCCGTTAGAGTTTCAAGTAGGAGATCATATATTTTTGAAGGTTTCTCCGGTGACAGGCATTGGTAGATCCATTAAGGCAAAGAAGTTGACACCTAGATTTATGGGCCCGTATGAGATCTTGGAGTGAATTGGACCTGCTGCATATAGAGTTGCATTGCCTCCACAGATTACAGGTATCCATAATGTATTTCACGTATCACAGTTGAAGAAGTACAACCCGGATCCCTCCCATGTTATTGAACCTAAAGAAGTAGAATTGAGGGAGAATTTGACCTTTAGATCCAAACCGGAGCGAATTGAGGACTTTAAGGACAAACAACTACGCAATAAGACCATCCGACTTGTGAAGGTGATTTGGAAGGGTGGAGCCCTAGGTGATGCTACTTGGGAGACCGAGAAGAGTATGAGGTGAGATTATCCACATTTATTTACTTAGGTATATGGTTTCTAAGTTTATCTATTAAATTTTGAGGACAAAATTTCTAAAAGGAGGGGAGAATTGTAACATCCTGATTTTTATATAATAAAGAAATTGTGGAATTTAGGTTTTGAGGAAAAAATGATAATAATAGGAATTTATATTATTTGAGGTTATTTAGAAATGATATTATAGTTAGGTATGTAATTATAAATTTAAAAATTTAAATTTAAAATCACATAAGCAATATTTAGTTAAGATATAATACATAAATAATTTTTTTTATGTGTGTTAAAAAAAAAGAAGGTAGAAGGAACAAAAAAAAGAGGGTGGAAGGTTGTTGTTTCTAAGTCCCACATTGGTTAGATGAGGGAAGAGAAGAGGTGCCTTCATGTATAAAAAGGAGGGGGTGTGTGCATTAGGAAGCATGAGAGGCTAAGATGCAATTTAGAGGAAATTGCAACTTTTGGCCCAAATATTTGAATAATTAAATTCAAACCTATAGTTTTTTTTAAATATAATTTTGGGACTACAATCCCATTTTTATATTATTTTTCTCTCTTCCTCTCACGTTGCTCAGCGTTTTCTCGCAAGGGGGGATTATTTTCTTTGTCTTCAGGTATGTTCTAACTTTCCTGTTTAGATTAGCATTTAAAAATTTATTTAATTACAAAATTAATTTATATAGTTATTTTCTAAATAATATTAGCTTTCTAGTGGTATGATTATTTTGTAGGATAGAGTAAATATTTTGATTAGGATTTTTCTATAGGATAGTTAATCTGATGATATGATGGATTAAAAATATAGGTTAAAATTCTTAGGGATATAAAAAATATTATAGAATATTTTTTTAAGGTTGAAACTCATGTTTAAGAATTTTTGAGTTAAAATCTAGATCTATATGATTGAATTTATGTGGAATCTGAGACGTAGGGATAAACCTATGATTATTAAATATTTATTTAAGTATGAATAGGTATTTTTGAGGTTATAGAAAGGTGATTTGAGGCTTCAGAATAATTCTAAAATTTTTAATTTATTTTTGGATGAATTTTTAGAATATAGAAGGATGAAATTGTGATACTAGAAGTGAATTGAGGATAAAAAAAATAGTTCATTAGGGTACGAGAATTTTAGAAAAGAATTTGGGAAGTTAAATGAGGCATAAATCTTAAATTAGTGTTAATATGGACTATAGATCTAAGACTTTCTACCTCTTTAAATTAGAGTTATTTATTTTAATGTAAAATTAATATATAGTATTGTGAAATAATTATGTAGATTATATTGACAAAGATAGTGGTGAAAAAAGAGTTGTGAAGGGGAACTTGTTATTCAAGACACAAGGTAACCATTATTAATGTGTTGTGATGAGTGTGTTTGTGAATGGTTATGTGTTGTTTTGTTGTTTGGAAAAATTATGAATTATTGAAAATAAATACTGTTATATACTTGTTTGAAATTATTGCCAAGTGGGTTAAAAATTTATTTTTGTTTATCATGATGAGATATTATTGTTCGGATATATTTCTGTTTGGATATTTGAATGATGCATGACTTATCAGGGTATTTTAATGTATGGTGTTAATGGGAATTTCTGTTCGGTTAATTATTACCACGTGGTAAGCCCTCATTGGACCCAATGAGTGGCGTGTCGCTTGGTCCAACTCACCTTTGGCCGGGTGATTTGGCGTCCGAGCATGGTGAAAGGAGGATATAAGGTGCAGTCATGCAATTAAATACTTGTTCGGTTTGTTTGAAAATATTGTTCGGTTAAATGTTTTGTGTGCCCACTTAGCAATCGCATGATTAGTTACATCCGCATGCATCATTACATATTAATTTTTGGTTACTGGGACTTTTAAGTCTCATTCCCCGTGGTTAATATTTTTACAGGAGCGAATCCGGCCGAGAAAGCACCAGAGGTGTAATTATGGTGTATGAGACACCATCTTTTACGTTGCCTCTTATTTTGGATTATACAATGTATCTTGTGCCAACTTAGGACATATCTTGTCTATGGAGCATGTAAACTCTAATCCTTTTTATTAAATGCATTTATATGTCCAAGAAGATTATGTCTGTCCCTTTTGATTCATGACCTAATTTGAATAACATGCTATGAGGATCATGTCTGTCCCTCATGGTTCTAATTGCTTTTTGAGATATTTTAAGACCTGTGGTATATTGTCTTGGATGTATCATGGTAGAAATTTTTCTACCATGATAAGGGTATGATAAGGGTTCAATGAAAAGAAAATGATTTGTTGAATTAATAATTTGTGAAAAATCGGTTTGTAAATTTGAGGGTGTTACAGATGGCATATTGGCAAAGGTTCTAGCATGAATTTTTTTTGTGAAGTTTGTAAATGTTACTTGTTAATAATATTACATGACTTGTTTAATACTTTATATTACTTGTTAAAACTGTCATATGAAATTGCAAAATAGATGGCTGGGTGAAGGTTATTAACATTTATGACATTAAGTTGTGTTGTCTAGAATAACTGTATGTTGTGTTGTAAAATGATTATGTTATATTGTAAATATGGTAATTATAATTGTAAATTTGTAACTTGGTTTAGTGCTAATAAGGCAATTAAAATGAACATGCTTCTTAGATTTTTGATTGGTTAGAGAAGTAGAGAATTTGTGCTTTGGAAGCATGCATCATTTTGATGTTCTCCTTTTTGTAGTTAGAAATGGAATGTAAATTGACAACAAAAGTTCCTTGTGCTAAAATGCATTTATGCTCTTTTTCATGTTCAAATTACCTATTTAACAAGTGATGTCAGACACTTACAATGTAATTTTATTTGTTTAAAAAGTAATGTTATGTATTTTATAATTTAAGATAACAATTTGACAAGTGATGGGTTTTGTACAAGTGAGATGCTAAATAAGTCAAGATGAAGAATCACCAAGTAATAATATGCCTTTAACAAGTCATATAATTAATTGAACAAGTAACTCACCACATTGATTTTACAAGTAATGTAATTGAGAAATTAAGAAATTAACAAGTTATATTAAAAAATTAACAAGCTTTGTTAAGGAATTAATAAGTAAATTTAAGAAATTAACAAGTAGTGTAGTTGAGTTTTCAAGTTAAGGAATTAACAAATAAGGTTAAAAAATTATCAAGAATTAAGGAATTAATAAGTATTGATATTACAAGTTCAGAAATTAACAAGTCTTGTTAAGAAATTAACAAGTAAAGTTAAGAAATTAATAAATAATGTAATTGAGTTTATGAGTTGAAGAATTAACAAGTAAAGTTAAAAAAAATTATCAAGTCTTGTTAAGAAATTAATAAGTAATGTAGCTAAGTTTACAAGTAAAATAGAGTTAAAATTTTAACAAGTCTTATTAGGAAATTAATAAGTAATGTAGTTGAATTTACAAGTTTAGGATTTAACAATTCTCATCACAAAATTAACAAGTAAGATTTAGAAATTAGCAAGTCTTGTCATGAAATTAACAAGTAGAGTTAAGGAAAGCTCACCGTATCTACAATGTCATGTAACAATTTAAACAAGTAACATAAAGCAAGAAACAAGTCATGTAACATTATTAACAAGTAACATGTATAGTCTTTGCACAAAAAATTCATGCTAGTACTTGTTGTGTCAATAGGCCATCAAGTACCTTCATAAACTTTCATATCACATACATTCATAAGATAGCAACCCATTATAAAAAAAATTATATTTGGGTTGTGTATATGTACATAAGAGCTACTTCCTCAACCAACCAAAAAAATCGAAGGACACTGTTTAGTTCAACTACCTCATTAATATTGAATCATGTTATAAATTTACAACTACAATTACCATATTTACAATGTAACATTAAGAATTTTACAATGCAACATACAATTGTTTTGGATAGCACAACTTAATACCATGAATGTTCAAAACCTTCACCTAACCATCTGCTTTACAACTTTAATGTCAAACATTTCAAAAAAAAAAATTACATCACAAAAAATCCAATTTGACGTAGCAAGATAGGACAAAGACAAAATTGCCTCCCATTTTGATTACAAAGAAGGGGAGGAGAAGGAAAAAGAATAATCACTGCCACAATTGGTCAATCTTCTTGAGGATCCACTTGTAATAACTTAGGAATTTTAAGTGAAAATTTAAAATATATAGAAATGAGTTTTAATTGTTTTGTATTAATTTTGAAAATATTTTACCAAAAAAGAATGTTGGTCTAGCAAGAGTGTAATGACCTTAAATTTTAAATTAAATAAATTCTCTCTTAAGTAATATTTAATTTAATTATTTTAATTTTATGACAAATGAGGATGTAGTGGCTTGATTGAATTTATACTGGTTACTTATATGGAAGTCAAGTTAAATATGTTAGTTTTATTTTTATATGGAAAATTATTGAATATGCCCTTGCTTATTGTTATAAAAACATTATAATAATAATAAAATCTGATGGGGTATTTTTCTGTAATATTTGCCATAAGTTTTATATTTTATTTTCTTCTCTTCTCTTCCATTCGGCTAGCTTCACAGAGTTTAGATGGAGAAGGATCGTGATTTTTCTTCACTGCTTTTCTCCTATCCCCCGTTGCACTTTCATCCTCCTATGGCTGTCAGTTCGTCCACCGTTGTCCTCTCTATTCACTTTCATCAGCCACAGTGGGTTGGGTCACTAGATTCTCTAATCTTCCTCCTCTGTTTGTGTTGCTCTTCCCTCTGCTCTCCATCACAAGCTGTTCTTTCTTCTCCTCTATTAGAGTCGTGTAGCATGTTCCTCTATTTTGTGTTGTGGGAGCCGGTTCACGGGTGTAAAATGTTTGATCTGTTAGTCTTTGTACTTTTCCTTGTGATGTCGCTCTTCTTCTTCCTTGTTCAAGTGCTGCCGTTGAGTGTGTGTAGATATGGGAGGCATTGAATCTTTATTTCTTGTTCGTTGCTTTGCTGGGCTGACACCACAGGAGCACCGGCCAAAATCAACATTGAAGATACTTTCTCATGTCCTTGCCAATGTCAGCTATGTTCCTCCGTATGTGTAGTTGCACAAGTAGGTTCAGATTTTGCCTCTCCTCTGTTCTTCACTGTGATCTACTTCTTGTTTGTGTTGTGGGTTGAAATATTGAAATTTTTCTTCTTCCTTTCTCTGTTACCATGAGTAATGTAGGGATGAGGATTTAATATTCTTGAGTTAAAGATTAATTTATCTGTTGAAGGCATGAAACTTTAGAAGCTTGATTTGATTAGTTTCCTTTGAGTTTGTAAGTTAATTATACAGTTGACAAAGTAGAAATTTGAAAGCTTGGTTAATTTGAATGTTGTTAATTGTAATTTTTGAAAATGGAGTAATCTATTGGTTCATTTGTTGTCAGCACATACCGTTCAGTACTGTGAAATGGGATGGTTTAATTAATGCAACATTTTGATTAAGGCATTTAGATACTAATAAGATAGATAAACTTCAATTGATCAGGTTTCTCCCGCCACATCATATTTAACCAAGTTTCTTTTATCTTATCTATAATCCTAATGTTAATGAAACTTTTGTAAGTAGATAAGAAGATTCTTTACCCTCTAGAAAATTCTTTATATATTGATAGAGCTCATCTTTGATGGTAATCTCACTTGTCTGATTTGATTACTTTAAGAAGAATTTAGAGTTGGTTTTCTTTGAACTTAAACTTGATTTTGATGGATGTTGAGTTTGAAAAGTATGATAAATCTAGACATTAGTGTTTGTAAATTATTGAGTAAAGTTTGAGAATTAGGAAGTTTTAGTGAATGGTTTAAAGATGTTACACACTATATGCTTGCCAAAAAGCCTAAGAGGAGATTGTCAAGTGATTAGCTAAGGTTGAAAATTATGAGAAAAGTTTTATGTGTAAACTAGGGTCTTAAAACTCTGAAGTTATTATTGTTAAATGTTGATTGAGTTGATTTTTGAAAGGTAACTTGTTTGATTCAAGTATAGGCCATTAAAAAATTTTATGTTTATATAGGACGTTGGGAAGAACTTGGTAAAGGTTGACAAGGAGTGAATTTTTGAACTTTAAAATTTGACAGGTAAGTGGATAACGTTCCAATCAATTTATATATATTTACAAATATTCTCTTATCAAATATTATTTTTGATAATTTACAATTATTAATATGTTTCTTTAGTACTGGTTATTATTGTTAATTAAATTTCTTTAGCTCTTGAAGTTGTCATGATATATATTTATAAGATTGATGAAAATGCTTTTATAAATTCTAGTACTCTTTTATTCAATAAAAACAATCATGAAAATTGGTGAAAAAGTTTATGAAACATTAGTTGGAAATTTTCATATTTAAAAGTCTTAGATGTTTTAAATAGTTCATGCCAGTTTGATATTGAAAAGAAAAAAAATTTTATTTTGAAAGTGATGATTTTCTTGCATGTTTAAAAATGAATTTAAAGGAGATTTTATATAGAATACTAGCTACTAATGGCAATTTCATTAGCCCTTAGCATGCCATAATCAATAACTAGCTAGCTTGATTTTTATGAGCTTTGTTCTCACGATTATTATTCGTGAGTCTTGTACTCATATTTGTTTTTATGACTTTAAGCTATGTTTGGTTAGCATTACCCTTGTGTATTGTGTGTCTACATTTAATTTGTGGCTTCAGTTGTATTTGGTTACTCATCCTCGTGAATTATCTGTTCACGTTTGTTTTTATAGCATAAGCCGCATTCAGTTATTTATCCTGATGAACTGTGTGTCCATGTTTATTAATTGTTATGATAAGTCACTATAATCAGAAATTAGAATTATTTGGTGATTTTACATCCCATTATTTTTATTTAGTAATTTATTTATAATTATTTATTTTGTTTATTTGCTTTCTTGCTTTCTTGAAATCAAGTGACAATAATATTTAATATGATAATTTAATGGTTCAAAATTTCATTTAAAGTTATATAGAGCCATTTTATTTTGAAATTTACTAATTTTTTATGAAAATTGTTGTCTCTTTAACTTACATAATTGTTTGAAGCTTTTATTTTATTCATGTTTAATTATTTATTATTAAGATATTATTCACTGAAAAGTATTTTATTTGGTCTCAAATAGAGCCGAAAAAATGAGTTGAACCTACGAGTTAGCTTGTTCAACCCATGAAATTTAACGGATTGAGTTGAATAAA